TCGCCGGACCATCTTCAAAGGCAGCCCCAGTAGAACACATTGCAGTAATCTATGCGAGATGTTACCAGTGCATACGTAACTGTCACGCCTTAGTTTTATTAACGTTTTATGGGAAGTGAGGCTCTCACTTGAGGCTCTTCAAACGGCGCTGTGCCCCATTGTTTCAGTGGTGTTCTGGTGCAAGTTTGAGCAAACGCTAGAGAGTTGGAATACTTAAGCTACCATGAAGATTCATTTATTTATTGGATTTTGCACACACTCATCTTTATTCCGAGCGCACAGGAAGGTAAGGGTAGAAGGAGCTGCTTCTAACAGGCCATGTCACGGCTTCGTGTACTGTAGAGGTAGGCAGCTTTGATGGGGATGGAGGCCCCATGTTTTTGCCCCTACAATCCCCATTAGGTACGCCAGGCCTGGAAGTGACACAAAAACCAAAACAACTCAACAAAACTTCTGCTTTCGGTGTATTGTTGTAGTTTTGGGCAATTTCCTGGGCTTGTCAGGGCCCTTTGAGCTTCTAACAGGCCATGTCACGGCTTCGTGTACTGTAGAGGTAGGCAGCTTTGATGGGGATGGAGGCTCCATGCTTTTTCCCCTACAATCCCTCTTCCAATATACAATCTCATGGAGTAGGAAAAAAAACCCTGCTTTTTTTTTGCACAAGCACACTAAAGTTAGTGGAGTTGCTAAAATGCACTGAGCGCTTTAGAAGTCACAGACATAAACATTTTGTGATTGGGAAAAAAACCTTTTAAAAGTTACTACATAGAAACCAATCAAACATATCAGAGAAATTCAAAATAAATGATATAGGAAAAGCAGTTACATGCCTGTCTTTCAACGCTGCTCTTCAGATCATCTGCTTATTATTAATTATTTTAGTGCTTTGCTTACTAATAAATGCAGTGATTTGGTAGAAGGAATTCTTCCAAACTCTCTTTGAAAAGCATTACTTAATTTTGCATCCATCTGTTAAAATGGTACAGATTATTCAACACCACTCACTATGACATAAGACCATGAAGCTGTACCTCTTCTCTTCTGGAAGAGCACCAAGGCAACGTAGAAGTCCAATGTGAATTAGCATTCAGAGTGCTCCGTTTTGCACTTGGGGAGCGCTGGGTGCAAAATCCACTCTCTGCTTTAAATCTGTCTGAGAGACCTGGGACATTCACTGACGGGTTGGATCAGTTACAGAAGACACCACTGGCGTCTCCTATCCAGACCGTTCTTCTCCTCTTATTTTAATTGTGCTATGAACTTTCTGAGTATGATTGTGATGATGGCAAGGGGATGGATACATCGCTCTTGTTCTCAATCAGATTCATCCCTCATAGCGGGCTTTTCCCATTTGTGGGAGCAGAATTGGTTGACTCCATTATTCTTTTCCACTTAAGAGGATAAAAGCAGCTGGAAAGGAGAAAGATTTATTTGATTTTGTTTTATTTTCTAAACCTACATCTGCACCCATCTAGTGGACAAGCCATTACTCTGGGAATTTTAATCAAGAAAATAGCATGTTGAGGAAAATGTGAACACGTCATGGAAAGTTTTACCCACTGCTACTCTTATCAACATCAGCAGAGGTAGGGGTGTGATAGCTTAAACAGGAGTAGTCCAAATTCTGTCCCAGCAATTGCCCTTGTTTGTGTCAATTTTCAAAAGAGGATTTTAGCCAATGGTTTCCAACTGTTGTTCATGAGTTAGAACACCAAGGCTATGTATGTTTACTTCAAGTCTCATTTTTTCTGAGTAAACTTGTCTTATGATGATATTTTATTTATTTATTTATTTATTAAATTTATATCCCGCCCATCTAGACAGCGTCTACTCTGGGCGGCTTACAACAAAGTAACATATTTGGAAAAACCTTTTGATTCTCCTGTGCCAAGGTAGAAAAAGTTCCTTTTTTGAACTGTGTGGCTCAGAATCCTGACACCATCATTGCAAGTGTTCACGGTGGTTAGGATATTTTGGGAATGATAGTTCAAAACAGGAACTTTTCCCAATTTCGTCCTGTGTCAGGTCTGGGTTGTCCCTATATATATATATATATATATTTGACTTTCCCTACTGAACAACTCCCTGAAGGAGATACAATTCAGGATGAATCTCTTGATACACCATAGTGTAGCCAGCTGGGGAATTCTAAACCCTTCTGCCAAACGACCACCTACTTTCACCCACCAGTAAGAAAAAAAGTTAAGTTGCAATGGGTTTTCTTACCTATAGTCTAGAAAACGTAGAATTTAACAAGCACCTGAAATCCTGAGGTTTAGGATTTGAACTACCTCTGCATCTATCCTACTTGTGAAGAAAAGTTTAGTGAGAAATTCTAAATCCAATGTTTTAACCTTTGCCAAATTTAGATGTGGTAGCGGCAGCTATGGATTTTTTTGGTGGAAGAAGGTGTAAAAGGGAGCAGAACCAAAAAAGAAGCGATTCAGGGACACATGGCAGGAAATGACAGTGAGGGTGATCGCTTCATAAATGGTAACCCAGATCTATAGTATAGGGTGTGAAGTTCCCCCAGTTGTATTTAGTAAAGTCCTGTCGTAGAGCAGCTCCGTATGTAAAGCAGAGCTCAAAAATTGTATTTGTTCAAGTTTATAATGTAACGTGAAATCTAAAGAAAACAAATAAACTTTGTAAGAATAGGGTTAAGGATTACCGTATTTTTCCATGTATACAACCCCCTGATGTATAAGACAACCGCCTAATTTGGACCCTGGCCAAAGGCAGAGAAGCAGTCAATGGGCAGTCACGATGGGTGGCCCAGCATGGCTGCTCCTTTGCCTCTGCCTCCGCCTCCTGCTGCTCCTCCTTCTGCCACTGGAGGAGGCGATCCAGCGGTGGAGGCAGCCGTAGTAGGAGGCGGAGGCAAAGGAGCAGCCACTTCTCGACGTAGTAGGAGGCGGAGACGGAGGCAAAGGAGCAGCCACTTCTCACTGCTGCCCATAGACTGCCGCTGCTGCTGTCAGGTCGCCTCCTCCAGCGATTGTCTCTTTTGGGCAGGGGGAGGCGGAGACGGAGGCAAAGGAGCAGCCACTTCTCACTGCTGCCCATAGACTGCCGCTGCTGCTGTCAGGTCGCCTCCTCCAGCGATTGTCTCTTTTGGGCAGGGGGCTGCCCATAGACTGCCGCTGCTGCTGTCAGATCGCCTCCTCCAGCAGTTGTCTCCATTGGGCAGGGGGCGAGGCAGCGACGTGAGCTGGAGGTGAGTCCCGGCAGTCGCACTGGAGGGAGTGATTGGACAGCAGAGGCAGCCATCAGTGGGCAGCCACAAGAAGCGGCTGAGTGTGGCTGCCCCTCCACCTCCGTCTCCTGCTGCCGCCTTTCGTGTATAAAATGACCCTCAACTTTTCCTCTAATTATTATACATGGAAAAATACGGTAAGCAGCAACAACTCTTTGTTTATCTTTTTTTTTTAAATGCCTGCACTGTTGTTTTTTGTTTTGGTTTGCTGTCACAGATCATCATGTTAAATTCGGTTTCCGACTTACATAGTTACATCGACAAAAGTCAGCTTACTCGGGAACTAGGGGGAACCTTGGAATATGGACACAGTCAGTGGATACACCATCGAACTGTAAGTAACTGGGTCTCTCCATCTTGGACATCTTGAAATGAAAGAATAGAGTGTAAATGGGGTGTCATTCCAGAGTGCAGGATGTGTTATAATGGCCTAAGTTAACAGGAAGCTAGATTTTGCTGAATATCAGGAAAGTCTTCTTAACTGTTAGAGCAGTATGACAATGGAACCCATGATCTTGAGAGGTGGTGAGTGCTCCAGCGCTGGAGGCGTTCAAAAGAAAATTGCACAACTATCTATCCAATCTGCTTTGATTTGGATTCCTGCATTGTGCAGGGGGTTGGACATGATGGCCTTCTAGGCCCCTTCCAACTCCATATTTCTGGGATTCTATGAAATGTTAAGAACTGATCCAAAGTCCCAGTTACTGAAAAAATAAGAAAACTTAATAATGGAACAAATAATTGTCACGACTGTCATCTTCATCATGATCGATACCCCACACATTGTTTGCCTTCTTTCTCTTACAGACTCTTAGCTGTTGATGGTTAACTATAGCAAGCATTTTCCAGAGTCCAATGCAGGTGACATTTTCTATGCATGGGCCAAAATTCTATTGTGCGGTTGGTTATTCAAGCCACCTAGCGGTGAAATAGCAGAAAATAAGAAATATCTGCAGGCATTATCTATTGCATACTGAGTCATGCAACTTGGTGTGCAACAGATAATACCTATAGAGATTTATTAATTTACTGTACAGTGGTGCCTCGCAAGACGAACGCCTTGCCAGACGAAAAACCCGCAAGATGAATGGTTTTTGCGATCATGTTGGTGACTTGCAAGACAGCTTCTTCTATGGCCATGCTTCGCAAGATGATTCCCCCCCCCACAAGATGAAAATAATTATTCATTCGTCTTGCTAGGTTTCCCATAGGAATTCATTACAATGCATTCCTATGGGAAACCACTTTTCGCAAGATGAAAATTTCACAGGACGGTGCTACTCGCGGAACGAATTACTTTTGTCTTGCGAGGCACCACTGTAATTTCTAGCTAAAAGTTGCTCCTTCTGCATAACTGTGGAACAGTCTCTTGACCATGAAGGAGGAACCATGAATGTTGTCTGTTCCCACTGTTTCAAGCCCTGGACGTAGCGTATATGTGGTGGTGTAACCTACAGGCATGGACAACAGTATATGTGGATTCCAAATGTGTGGTCTGTGCACTGGAGAAATGAAGTGAACATGCTTTGCAGTTGAGGATATGTCCTCGTTACCTAAAAAAAATGTTATAGGTAATTATGCTGCTTGTAACTCATTTCATCTAAGTTCTTCATTTCTTAAGAAGAATGATACTCTGCCTTAGGTGGTTGACGGGTCTGTGTCAAAAGAGGTTTCCTGGTTTGCCGTTCACCTACAGAGTGGCTGCACAAACTTACCAAATCTCACAGAAACCATCAGAAAATGACTCACAGATTGAGGATGTGAAACAGCACTAGGAGCTATATATTTACTATAGGAACAAAATGCGTTTAGATGTTTGCACCTTAATTTTAGCCATCCACTCATATCTGAAGAATTTCACTCAAAATGAATTAGACATGTGTTCCTTCTGTTGTTTTCTTTTCATGCTCTTTTGCCTTCCTAATACCAAATTGTACCTCGTTAGTTCCTTCGGGGTGGAGCTGATCTTCATGCACTTTCGTTATGCTGTGTAACCTGCCTTCTTTGGTCAACTGGCCCAAGAGTGCCTAGTCCATGTACAGGCAGAACTTACAACAGTTGTCTTACCTTATATCTTCCAGCCAGCATGGCAAGTGGCAGGATGGGTGAGGGATTCTTGCAGGTTTTTGCTGAGAAGCAACTCCACCCCCCCATATGCAGCGTATGCTGTAGTGACAGTACTATATACATTTTAAAGCAGTGGTCCCTAACCTTTTTGTGGCCGCGGACCGGCTGGGGGGAGTGAGCTCCATGCACGGGGGTGGGTGGGGGCACATCACACTCATGTGATGGGCATGTCGCACTCGCATGCATGTATGTGAGCGCGACACACACACCCCGTGGGCGTGACACACCCACTGCATGTGCTTGCAGGGGGCCAAGATCCACATCCTTGGCCCAGTTCCAGCAAGCCCACGGACAGGTACCAGGCCACGGACCGGGGGTTGACGACCCCTGTTTTAAAGCATTTAAAAACATTGTTGATTTCAGTGGGAGAAATTTCAGGCATTCTGAGCTCCTGTTGAATTTCATGGAATATCCTTTACATTTGATTATATTTTGCCCATGGAGATTTATTTAAACATGCATATCCAGGACGTTTTGACTTAAAATAAAATAGGGACAATGTCCCCTCTTTGTGAATAGAAGGCAAATGTTAAGATCCATATTCTTGATACCATTTTTTTTCTTTTAAAAATGGTAGCAAGACAAAGTGAATCAAAACCCTTTGTTGTGACAACTGAGTTTGATCAAAGGCTTCACGTGACTTCCAAAATTAGCACAGAAGTACTTTATTTAAATAATCTTTTTGTCTATTTTTGTAGTCTTTCAAAGTTTCCTTTTGATTTCATTTTTAAGCTTCAAAGGATACTGTGCATGAGATTTGTTTCAGATTCTGTGAACACCTTCCTTTGTCCGTTCATGTATTTACCCATTAACAAACAAACACAGCCAAGGGATTGCAATTTAATTTGAACACGGAAAGGGGCACAGAGGCGAGGCGAGACACCTTCCTGTGTTCTACCACTTCAGGCTCATTTCTTGTAGACTGACCCACTTCTGGTATACAAATCAGTTCCTTCAAGAGGCAGAAGTAAGGAAGCACAGAGATAAATAAGCAGGGTTAGCTTTTAAATATACTTTTCTTATGAGCATCAGCTATTGTGGATTCCCAGGCAAGAGATTCTGGAATATACATCGTACCTTTTGCAAGCACAGGTCCAGAACCCAGCTTCACTAATTAAACAGACTTACGAGGAGGTCTTAGTGTGAAACATTTGCAAAGAAGAACCCAGGTTTTCCAAAGCTGTGACTTCTTCTACAGATAACTTCAAAGACTTCTTGCTTCGTGGGGATGTGGCATTAGTTAACCATTCCAGGAAAAAAAAAACTGTGAGAGGCATAAGGGTGGGTCAGATGGAAGGAAGGCATGAGCATTAAATGTCAGATGCACGGAGGCCTTCTCTTATGGATTTAATCAAGACATGCATGAGACAACTCCTGCTTGATTAGGTGGCATAGGGGAGAGATACCCTGTTTCCCTGAAAATAAGACCCAGCCTAAAAATAAGCCCTAGTATGATTTTTCAGGATGCTCGTAATATAAGCCCTACCCCAAAAATAAACCCCAGTTAAGTGAAACCCCGCCCTCCACCCTTGTGCAGCAACCAGAATAAGACGACATGACTGTATTTAAATAAATGTAGATGGTTGTACATGAAAAAAAAATAACACCCCCTAAAAATAAGCCCTAATGTGTTTTTTGAGCAAAAATTGATGTAAGACCTTGTCTTATTTTCTGGGAAACACAGTGTGTGTGTGTGTTTGGGGGGGGGTTCGGTGTTTCAGCCCAGTTTGGAGCAGCACCTGGACAGGTGTTCTGTGGGTGCCACACACGTCTCTCCCCTGCCTCCTTTGGGCATTGGCCACTCACCAGGAGGAGCGTACTTCCCTCCCCCGGCTCTTCAGCCGGCGTTGAAGAGGACTGCCTCGTCGGGTGATCACCCACTCAGATGACGAGATGGGGCAGGGAAGCCTGGACTCCTGCTGGAAAGCGGGCAGTCACTCAGAGGAGGCAGGGTAGAGAAGTGCATGGTGCTCGTGGAACACTTGTTCAGGGGTGACTTCAAACTGGGTTGAACTGTGATTCATGTCCATCTTTACTAATAATAACTATAATAATGGCACAGATGTTTTCTTTGGCTTGTGAAATAACACAGTAGGACTTTAGTATCCGCGAGGGATCGATTCCAAGCCTGTGGATGCTGAAAGCCACAGATATGCAAGCCATTTATTCATCATAGTTTCTCTTTCCTTCTAATAGCCAGGTCTGCTAATACACTTTGAAAGCATGTATTTCAGGGTGTGGGGAGAGTTTACCGTATTTTTCCGTGTATAAAACTACACTTTTTCCTAAAATAATTGGAGGAAAAATTGGTCATTTTATACACAAAAGTAACGAGGGGGCGAGGGATCAAGGCGCTTTGATCCCTGCCTTTCCCCTCCACTTTCTTATAAAGAAAGAAATTTAGAAAAGGGGGGGGCATCTTATACACGTAAAACTATGGTGTTTAATATTTTCAGGCATCGGATAACTGAAACCACGGGTACTGATCCCGCAGATCCAGCGGTATTACTGTGTATATATATTGAAGTGTTTTTCATTGCACCGATATTCCAGGCCATTGAGAATTTTGCCATGACTGTGAAAACCACAGCACAGATGTTGCAGAGCTTTGGAACAGACCTGGCAGAGACAGAACTTCCAAATGATGTGCAGTGTACGGAAGAGCTGCTGACATCCCACACGGAGCAACACTACAAACTCAAGGTAAGGTTTTGTATCTCTTAGCTGTTTCTGATCCTGAAAGAGTCCCGGGTTGTATCAGGCTTCCCATTTTCACCCACCTCTCAACTTCCTGTTCACTGACCGTTATTAGTATCGTTGTTGTTGTTGTTGTTGTTAATAATACTAATACTAATAATACTAAAAATACAGAATTTGAGCACAGAGAACTTGAAAGGAAAAGGGAATTTGAGCAAGAATTGGAAAGAGAAAAATCAAAGAAAGAGAAAGGGAAAATCAATTCCAAACAGAGATGAAGAAATTGGAATTAGTAGCTCATAATAATAATAATAATAATAATTCCACCCAACTCTCAAATGTAAGATTATATTTCCTGGGAGATGAATAAAGAACAGCGCATTCCTGCTTTTACTACTTCTGTTGAATCTGAGAACAGCAGAAAGACACTATGATACTTTCGGGATTTTGAAAAGTGCTATTTATTTACTCCAGATGCAATCTGGCAAATCCAGGGCCAAAAAAAAAAAAACTAATATGGTGCAGTCAGAACACATAGCTATTGGTTTTTCAGCTTTGTTCACATTTTGAAGTGATGCTATGGTGCAGATTATTGCCTGACATCAGCTCTGTGTACTGTAGATTACTGAATGATAACACCACAAAGCTGTTGCAAAAGTGCTGAAATGGATTAGTGCCAGCCCAGAGCATTCTGCCCTCAAGCAGAAAGTGGCTAAAAAGTTTTGTATTTTTCCCCCTTGGTTTTCTTGGTCTGGGCAGAGGTGGGGACTCAAATGATTTGCACCCACCCACTATTCTTCTTTGTCTTAACTGAGTGTTATTAAAAAAGAACACAGTTAGTTACCGGCAACTCTCCTACGAAAATAAGATTTTCCTTTCGTTCTTACTTGACGGGAAAAATTGGCGTAGAAGCCTTGCATGATGAGACACTGTAGGAAAGCAATGGGGCTTTTTTTCAGGGTTAATGTCTTTACATGTCCAGGAAGCTTTGTTTTTCATTTAATGCAGTGTGAATCCTACAAAAACAGGGGTATGTTCAAGCCTTGGTACTCCATCTGATCTTTGTGTCCCAGTGCTGGGAGGTCCCCGGGAGAGTGTGCCCCCTTTCACAAAACCATGGCTTTCCAGCTTTTGCCATTCGAAAAAAGGTTGGAAAACTTTTCCTAAAGTTTTGTAACTGGCCGTGAGAGTTTTAAGCGAAAACGTGATCTAGGTAAATGTTTTGCATGTATCGTTCTCTCTGTCTCACTAGAGAGAGGAACAGCCCATAGACCTGATGGGTCCCGTCTCCAGTAACTCCGAGCAGGGATTACAATACATTCAGATAAATGAAACAGAGCTCTTTTTTACACCCACATCCTCTCTCTCTCTCTCTCTCTCTCTCTAAAGGATGAGCTGAAGCTAGCTGTGAAGCAGGGGGCCACGCTGTTGACTTGTATCCGAGAACCCGTCACACGAAGTGCCAACAGCAAACTCAGCCCAGATGAGCTAGAAAATGTGGCAACGGTGGAAAGGTTAGAAAAAAGCTCAAGATGGGATTCACCGGTTTTGCTTACTGTACTTTGACAAATGTGAATTTGTCTTCAGGCTCAGTCTGAATTTGCTTTGTGCGTATGTATCCACTTGTTGGTTTGCTCTTCAAGAAAATAGTGAGTTTATAATGAACATATGGTCAACTCAGCATCATTCTTTTGGCTTGATCCGCTCAACCTGTTGTTGCTGTTATGTGCTGCCAAGTCACATAACTGATGAATATATGATCTCCTAAAAGTCCGATCACTGACAGTCCTGCTTAGATCTTGCAAACTAAAGGCGGTGGCTTCATTTGGAGTCAGACCATCTCAAGGAAGGTTTTCCTTTTTTCCTACTGCCTTTCAGTTTTCCTAGCATGATGGTCTTCCAGTGAGTTTTATCTTCTTTTCCGTAAGTTTTATCTTCTCATGGTATGTCCAGAGTATGCCTCAGTTTAATCATTTAACATCTCGTGAGAGTTCAGGCTTGATTGGGCCGAAATCCTGTTTATTTTTTTTTCTGCCATTCTGTGGTACCTTTAAAGCTCTCCTCTTAATACCACACTTCAAATGAATTGTTAGTCGAGCTTTTCTTCAATGACTGATCTAAATCATAAGAACTGAAAAATGGGTTTCTCTTCGCCACATTTTCTTATGCAGACACTTTCTTATGAAAGAAAGCAGTGGTTCCTCTTTTACAGATTAATCCGCTTGGTTAGGAACCGAGGCTCATGGGATACCACCGTTAATTTCAAAAAGCAGCTCTAGTGTTGAATGTGGTGTAGAAGTGAAGAGGTGAGAACTAAAAGTAAAAAAAAGGGAAATGATCATGTGGCGAAGTGCTTGAACAAGGGTGCTGCATGTGAGGGTATGGGTTTTGTAGTACGTGTTTTCCAGGACTTGCAGGTGTTTTGTCTCCTGCGGAGACCAAGCTGTTGTTGTGGAAGAAAAGCATCAGTGCCCTACCAGCCTGGGAATGAGAGGATGGGAGCTGTGGAGAGGATTTGTGAACAAAGCACTGTATGCTGATTGGATGTCATCACAAAGCAGAGACTTTTATTTAAGTTATAGAAAGGGGGGGTTAGGAGTAAGTTGGAGGACGAGAAGAAGGAAGACAGGTTTAAATCCTTCTTTGATTGATTAAGTAGATTTAGCCACGGTTCCTTAGAATAGCCTAGTCATTAAGTAGTACAACTATTAACTAGTTAATCATTTTATTGTTTATGGGAAAGTCTTACAGGAGCTTACTTAATACTTGGGTGCTTGGCATTTAACAAGTACTGTACAATTTGCATCTTTTTGTATTTCTTTTGTTTTATAACTTTTTAATTTTTAAATAAATCTATTCTATTTAACCCAAGTGTGATTCTTGGGGGCAAGGCTGAGAATGCCTAAAGAACATGCCTTAGCCACCAGGGCTATGTTTGCTATTTTTGTTCTTTTGGGTGTCCTACCTGGAAAGGCTGGTGTGCAAGGTTTAAAGGACGCTGTTAAAAGAGTTTTAAGTTTAAATAAGGGAGTAATTAGAAATCTAGGGACAGAAGCTTGCTCACACACCTTCTAGGTCTCACCCAGTCTAGAGAAAAGGTGGTGGACGTTGGGAACTACAGTTTGACTCCTTCCCCTAGTGGAATAGCTTCTCTAAGGAGATGCATTCCTAACACTGCAGTATGGGGTGGGGGTGGGGGGAAGAGAGCCAAGCCAAGCCTGACAGGTAGCATTTCTGGAATGCTTTTATTGGCATGTTTGCCACTTAACAGGGAATTCATCAATCCATCTACCTATCAATAAAATAAAATTACATAACAATCAAGCATGACAATTCTAAAACATGAGCATCTGGTCATTTAAATATCTGAGAAAAAAAATTATTTGCAGTATACGTACCTGATCGTACAAAAGGAAAGTGAATAGCCTAAGTGAAGGCGAACAGGTTTGGCATGTGTCTAAAACCCCCGGTGGCTGGTGCATGCTTTTGTTCCAAGAAGAGAGGATTTTTAGAGGACAAACAGGGCAGTTGCACTGCATTCTGTGGATGCCCTTGGTGCCTGTGTGGAAGAAGGACCTTGAGTAGGGTTTACCTTGCTCTCCATCATAGATCACAGTCACCCCATGAAAGATGTCTCTGTGCCTTGTTTGGCTGTGCTACAGAGTGCATCGCTGATTATTGTTTTTAGGAGCCCTTTGTTTGATGTTTGAGCAACTAGGCTGAGTGGGTACAGCAAAGAAGGCCAAGAAGGTGCTATTTTCCAGGGAAAAAAACTCCTGATCCTCTAACTGGACATCGAAATATGTTAGCAGTGCGATCCTATATAAGGGTCCAATGTTTGAAAAAGCTTTGGTTTGCTTTTGTGAAATTCCCAAAGTCCTCTAGCAAATAGTCCTGTGTTACCTGCAGTCCTGCCACCCACAAGGAGGAGAAACCTGAGCCTTTCTGGTTGTAGCACATGTCGTAGGTGAAATGGAATCACAGGTATGTACAGATTTTGATGTTCACTCCTACTTGTGCTACAGCCATGAAGAAAACCTGTTTTCTCCTGCTTCTGAGGTATAAACACTACAGTGGTGGACACACCGTGCACAGTGATGCAAAAATAATACATGGTGCTGGATCAGGGAGAAAAATATCCCCCCGTCTGGCCCCAGGGCTAAGAAGAAAGAGGCAGAAGGAAGATAGGAATAGAGAAAGCAAAAGAGAGAGAGAGACTCTTCCTTTCATAAAAATTGGTTAAGAACAGAGTCTTTCTCTATAACTAAATCCACTTCTTGTAACCCTCAGTTCTGTATGGTACAGTAAGTTCTAAAGCTGTCATAGGGGGTGAAAGAGGAGAGCGCAAAAATGATCTGAAGCTCAACATAAAAAAAAAAACTAAGATCATGGCCACTGGCCCCATCACCTCCTTGCAAATACAAGGGGAAGATATGGAGGCAGTGACAGATTTTACTTTCTTGGGCTCCATGATCACTGTAGATGGTGACAGCAGCACCGAAATTTAAAGACACCTGCTTCTTGGGAGGAAAGCGATGACAAACCTTGACAGCATCTTAAAAAGCAGAGACATCACCTTGCCGACAAAGGTCCGCATAGTGAAAGCTATGGTTTTTCCTGTAGTGATGTATGGAAGTGAGAGCTGAGAGCTGGACCATAAAGAAGGCTGACCACCGAAGAATTGATGCTTTTGAAATGTGGTGCTGGAGGAGACTCTTGAGAGTCCCCTGGACTGCAAGGAGAACAAACCCATCCATTCTGAAGGAAATCAACCCTGAGTGCTCACTGGAAGGACAGATCCTGAAGCTGAGGCTCCAATACTTTGGCCATCTCATGAGAAGAGGAGACTCCCTGGAAAAGCCCCTGATGTTAGGAAAATGTGAAGACAAGAGGAGAAGGGGGACGACAGAGGGCGAGATGGTTGGACAGTGTCATCAAAGCGACCAACACGAATTTGACCCAACTCCAGGAGGCAGTGGAAAACAGGAGGGCCTGGCATGCTCTGGTCCATGGGGTCACGAAGAGTTGGACACGACTTAACGACTAAACAACAACAAAATAAGAGGGCTGTTCAGTGTTGTCATTTACATTTAGCTGAGTATCTTGCCATAATAGCTAGAGACTACAGTGTTCATCTCATGAAGGATGCTGTATGTTGTGCGTTGCCTGCATTGGCAGTGAAGTGGGACTAGAGGGTGGTGGAAATCCCTTACCACCGTACAGTTCTAAGTGCCACAGGAATAGCAAACAGATCTGCCTTTAAAATAGAAAGATCAAATCCTCATTTTACACAGTAAAACGTTTGGGAATAAATCCACTGGGAGCTGGCCAAGAAGTGAGTTCAAAGAAAAAAGTGAATAAAGAAATACAAATAGAAGCTAGTTTTTGATCGGTAGAGATCTTCACCAGATTGGGCACCACAGAACTGCGCATAGTGGAGAAAAAAACCCCCCACACATTAAAACTCCAAAAATCTTGGCTACATGTTGACTAGGTTTCTGTGCTTAAAACAAGTTGCCAAATGGGTTCTGTAGATATGCAAATTTCAGATGCTGTGAAATGGAATATCTCCCCCTGGCTTCTTAGAGTGAAAAGATGCTGTCTTATTCTAGCAGGAGCTTGACCTCGTCTGCAGTAGAGTTGCAAATTAGCTTGTGTTTTGTGATTGGTTACTGAGAATGAAACATGGGCTTCATTTGCATGTCTTATTTCATTGGCCCAAAGTTTGGTGGAATTGCATGCCTGGTGAGAACATGGTGTAATAGCAGGAAAGACACATTTTTCTTAAGGTGCAGCTTGATCTTCTGTCTCTTAAGAATGTCCTGTCTCCTCTGTAGCAGGGGCAGTTGTATCTGGTTTACTCCATTTAGTGTTCTGAAAGCAAGAGAAGCATATTCCTTTTTTTTTCAAATGGCATTCTCTGATTGTCTTCACAGGTTGCTAGCTCAGTTGGATGAAACAGAGAGAGCCTTTGATCAGTTCTGGTCCAAGCATCACCTGAAATTAGAACAGTGTTTGCAACTTCGACATTTTGAGCAGGACTTCAGAGAGGTATTTTCCTTTTTGGCTTATTCCTTAAAACACTTAATGTTTGTCTTCTTTGCCATATATTTGGTTTATATGGTACAGAAAAAAATGTAAAAGAGAGGAAGGCAGAACTGAACTGTATAGTCTAGTGGTGAGGAACCTTTTAAATGTTGGACTACAGCGTTTTCTGTTGCAAAGCATCTGTGTGCTCCAGCATATGTATCATCATCATCATCATCATCATCATCATCATCATCATCATCATCATCATCATGTGCCATCAAGTCAATTCTGGCTTATGGTGATCCTTTCCAGGTAAAGAATTCTCTGAAGTGGTTTCCAATTCCCTTCTTCCGGGGGTGCCCTGGGACTGTGCAGCTTGCCCAAGGCTACTCAGGCTGGCTCTTCTCACAGGAGGCCTAGTGAAGAATCAGACTCCCAGCTTCTGGTTCTGCAGCCAGATACCTAACTCACTGAGCTGCCCAGCCAGCACCAGATGCTTATAGGACTACAATTCCCATCAGTCCTAGTCATGCTGCCTAAGGCTGATGGGAATGTCAGCTCTACAAGTGACTGGTGGGCCAGACATTTCTGCAGTCTAGGCCTCACCCTCAATTCTCCTGTTTAACCCCCTTTGGAAGCCACAGTAATGTTAAAAGATGGGGCCGTGTAACGCTGGTAAGGCCACACCTGGAGTATCGAGTACAGTTCTGGTCACCGCACCTCAAAAAAGACATTGTGGAACTGGAGAAAGTGCAAAACAGAGTTGCTAAAATGATGACTGGGCTGGGGCACCTCCCTGATTAGACAAGGCTACAGCGTTTGGGGCTCTTGAGTCTAGAGAAAAGGCGCCTGAGTGGGGATGTGATTGAGATGTATGAAATGATTCAGGGGATGGATAAAGTGGACAGAGGATAGCTCTTTTCCCTCTCATGCCATACCAGAACCAGGGACCTTCACTCCAATGGAATGTTGGGAGAGTGAGAACAAAACCAAAGAAAATGTTTCTTCACCCAGCATTGTGTTAGTCTGTGGAACTCCTTGCCACAGGATGTGGTGATGGCATCTGGCCTAGATGCCTTTAAAAGGGGATAGGACAGAAAAGTCCATCGCAGGTGACAAGCCATGATGGGGATGTATATAATCTCCAGACTTAGAAGGAAGGGACCTCCAAAGGCCAGATGCAGGGGAAGAGGGGCATCAGGAGACAGGTATCTCATTGTCTCGTGTGATCCCAGAGGCATCTGGTGGGGCCACGGTGAGATACAGGGGACTGGACTAGAGAGGCCCTTGGCCTGATCCAGCAGGGCTCTTATGTTCTTATATGTCAGTGAATGCAGAATCAACAGCCCACCTCCCCCTGAAATGTCACTATATTATGGGTACACCTGAGAAAACTGGGGCACTTTAACAGAGTTAAGCCAGTTACATTCTCTTCAAACTTGGGAGAGTTCAGGAAACAATGTGTTCACAACAGGAAAAGGCAGAGGTGACTTTCTCTTTACACAGTCACTTTTTAAATACCCCAGCCCTTTAGATTATTGGTGCGTGACATATTGTTAAAGTCATTCATCAGCAGCAATTCGCGGCCACAATTTATGGAATTACACTTGTGCTGCTGTACATCTCCAGTAGGATTCTGGCCTTTGTGTCTCACAGTTACTTTTAGTGTTAAGATTTATATCCGTTATCAATAGTATTATTCTAATTGCCAACTCTTGATAGAGTCATTATTTCTGACTGTTTCATTTTAAAAATAGAACTGCAAAATGGCAAATACAATAACAGAAGATTGGTGAATATGTAGGTATCCTTTTCAGAAAGCCTACACCCTTTGTTTCTATCATGGTGGGACCCAGTTTCTTTGGCAGAGTGATTGGTGGCATGGGAGGTGTGGAAGACTGGGAATCAGCAATGCAGTTTTTGGAAATCCACTGCTACAGCATCTCTGATAGGTAACCATCCAGCCTCTGCTTAAGAGCCACTACCGTATGAGAGTCCTCGGCCTTCTTAAATAGTCTGTTCCCTTATCAAACAGCTTCTGTTTTCACAGAGTCTTGTCTAATATTAGTAATCAAAATAATCTTTATACTGAAATAATAATAACAAGAAACTTCCTGATTCAGGTTCCATCCTCTGGAAAAACAGAAGCAAATTTGCGCCATCGTATAGGTGACAACCCTTGAAATATAAGAAGATACTTGGCCTGTCTCTTTAATTTTTCCATCTGTAGGGGAAACCTCTACAGCTTGGTCAACTTTTCTTCGTAGGTCTTTACACCCTTCACCACTTTTGTTGTGTTTCCCTGGAGACGTTGTTTGTGCCTGAATGTGACACAATTTAGTGGGGACTTGTGCCCCATACTGGTTTCACAAAATAAATGCCCATATGGGAGGAACAGCCAGAAACACACGGTTGTTCCTTCTCTGTCTCCTCGGGAAACATGGCACAGTTTCATTGACATACTTAAATCAGAGTTGGGGAAGAGTTACTGGTGGGAATGTATGTCCTAGAATCCCAAGCCAGAGTGACCAGTGGCCATACTGGCTGATGGTTTTGGAAATGGTAATTTTTTTGAAGCTCTGTGCAAAATTCATGTGTACCATGAACATAGGACGTACAAACAAGGATTTTGCTATTAAGCAAATTCAGAATATGTTGCATGTGTAATCAACAGCAAGCCTGGATTTGCTACCACGATAATGTGCAAATCAGCCTGTATCATTGGTCGTAGTCACAGATGCAGTCTTCATATTTATGGAGAAAAGATGTTGTGAGTGGCTGATGGTTTTGGAAATGGTAATTTTTTTGAAGCTCTGTGCAAAATTCATGTGTACCATGAACATAGGACGTACAAACAAGGATTTTGCTATTAAGCAAATTCAGAATATGTTGCATGTGTAATCAGCAGCAAGCCTGGATTTGCTACCATGTTAATGTGCAAATCAGCCTGTATCATTGGTTGTATTCACAGATGCAAAGTATTCATATTTATGGAGAAAAGATGTTGTGAAAAGAGGGGTCTTGTTCCCATGGCTTTATTATAACCTGGTAACATCCAAGGGATGTTTCGGACGCTTGCTTATTTGTTCCATCCTCCTGTCTGTGTCTGTCATACAGGTCAAAGTGGCGCTGGACAACCTGATGGAAGTGCAGGCGAGTTTCACAGATATTGGGGACAGCATCTCCCGGGTGGAGCACATTCTGAAGGAACAAAAGCAGTTGCAAGAAAGAGGACAGGTATGCCTTTTATGTCGACCTTACAAGTTACAATAAATTGCAAGAAATGATTGTTACCGTATTTTTCCATATATAAGACTATACTTTTGTCTAAAATCTTTAGACTAAAAATTGAGGGTCGTCTTATACACGGAAGTAAGTTTAGGAGAGATGAAAAAACAAGTAGAGGGGAAAGCAGGCATCAAAGCGATCCTGCAGTGCTTTGATCCCTTTCCCCCTATACTTGCTAAGCCCCACTTAGATTTCTTAATTTTGGGTTTAAAAAGTGGGGGGTCTTATACATGGGAGCGTCTTACACACTGAAAAATACAGTATTTATGTTTGCTGTTGCTGTTATCAGTTGTTGTTATTGCTATTAGCTACTCAATAACTATTCTATACGCTAACAAAATGCTGCATTGTGGAATGTGACTGTTCAGGATTTTACATATTCCATTTCATACTTCTCTGTTCTGCCTTGCCCCATCACCGTTCATATGGCGACTGACCATACTCAGTCCTCATTGGATTTTCGTAGGTTCCCCTGTCCCCCCAATTTATTGTACTTCTGCAAACCTATGATTTCTCATGAGCTTTCAGTAACCTCCCCCTTATATACCACATAACCAACGGTCCTCTCCCCCTGAAACAGAGGGAGGGCATTTTAATGTACCACCAAAGTAGCTGTCACATTACAAAGTCTGATGAGCAAAGGAAGATATGCACCAAAACATAGGTGTTTATAGTTCCTGTTTTTAACAAAGAGAAGGAGAGAAATAAGCAGAGAAAGGATCAGGACTGGAAATGCCTTTTCCCCAATCCCCAGCCTTGCCTTTCTGTCTCATTAAATGAGCATTTGTGTGTTTATCCAGAACACTGCTTTATTCTCTGCAAGAAGCAGTGAGCCTAGACTATATTTTTGCATGGATCAGCAGGAACAGAAGGTGGCTGGAGCAGAACCCCACAGACCTTGAGTTACCAGTGTCAGAAGTTCTAACACACTGGGCAAGTGAGCATAAGAAATAAAGGTTGCTTTTTGCAAAAACTTTTAGCTTCAGACTTCTTTGCAGGACGGTAGTGGTGTCACTTTTGCCCCTGGTTCACTTTCTTCATGTAACACAATGCTATTAATGGGAATGTTTTTCATATTAATTTCTCTTTTTTCTTCTGCAGGAGTCTTTGGAGAAAGCTCAAGCATTAGCTCTCCACGGAGACCAGCTGATCCAAAATAACCATTATGCCATTGACTCCATTAGACCAAAGTGTGTTGAACTCAGGCGCATCTGTGATGATTTTGCTAATGAGACCAAGAAAAAATACGATATTTTAGCAAAATCCTTAGAATTGCACAAACAGTTAGATAAGGTAAGGTGCATCGGAAGAAGAAACATTATCTGTGACAGTATTTTTAGGAAGAAGAAACATTATCTGTGACAGTATTGTTATTAATGTTTAACAAAACTACTGAAGAATAGGTTATGTAAAACACTATTTCGACTGAAGGATGCCTAACCTAACCTAATTTTTATTAATGTTTAACTAAACTACTGAAGAATAGGTTATGTTAAACACTATTTAAACAGTGAATCAGAAAGATTTTAAAGTCCATATCGAGCCCTTAATTTCTGCCACCAGAAACCTAGAATTCTCGAAATTGCAAAATAAAATAAAATAATGAATAAATGAAAGAATGAATGAACGAATGAATAAGGTTGATAAACACAGTTGAAAAAAAAATGTGCAAGGACTGACACTGATGTTTTTTGTGTAACATAACTTTTCCAGGGCCACCTAGGACTAAGTTTGAGGCAGAAATTGTCAGTAGGTTTTCAGGGTTTTATTTTGGTTTTATTCCTAAGTGGACTAGAAGATCATCCGTACGTTTAAATAAAATATGATAATCTCCATGTGACATGGCTGTCTTGGGTGTCCCTGCACGGCACAGCCCATAGCTTCTCTGAATTACTCAAGCCCCTTTGCCACGACAAGGCAGCAATCCGTGAAGGGGCCAGTGTATACAGCTGGTTAAACTGGGCCATTTCCAAGACACCAATGTCCCTTTGAGCCTGGCAAAGCGGGTTTTTGGCTTACAGCTCCTACATTCCCTCCCTTTAATTGTCTAAAAGTGACAGCCTGGAGCATGGTGTGAATAGCTTTGGCTTGGTTTTTTGTTTTTGTTTTTGTTGTTGTTTTAAGACTGGGGAAGCATTTCATCTGAACTTGACTATCTTATCTCCTTTCAAGGCATGCCAATGGTGTGAAGCTGGAATCTACCTCTTAGCTTCCCAAGCTGTAGACAAATGCCAGACACAAGAGGGAGCTGAAACTGCACTTTGCGACATTGAAAGATTCCTGGAAACGGCCAAGGAGCACCAGCTGCTGAATGGCAAAGAGTTCTACAATCAGTTCGATATGATTCTCACCCCAGAGATAAAGGTAGGAATAGAAAGAGGAGCCCTGCTAGCTCAGAACAAAAATCCTGTCTAATCCGGTTAGCTGCTCTCCTGCAGAAGCAACCAGAGGCCTGTGGAAAGCCGACAAGCAGGGCACAAGAATGATAGCTCACAACCACTGGTATTCAGAGGCATGCTTTTGCTAAACCCGGAGGCTGCCTGTAGCTATCATGACTAACCCCCATTAATAGTCAAGGCAGATAATGCTTAGGATCTCTCTATGCGGAGTTTGTGTCTGCTTCTGAGTGAAGGGATGTGGTGGCGCTGTGGGTTAAACCGCAGAAGCCTCTGTGCTGCAAGGTCGGAAGACCAGCCATCGTAAGATCGAATCCATGCGACGGAGTGAGCTCCCGTCGCTTGTCCCAGCTCCTGCCAACCTAGCAGTTCAAAAGCATGTAAAAATGCGAGTAGATAGTGGGAAGGTCACGGTGTTCCGTGTCTAGTTGCGTTGGCCACGTGGCCACAGAAGCTGTCTACGGACAAGACACTAGCTCCACGGCTTGGAGACGGAGATGAGCACCGCCCCTAGAGTCGGACACGACTGGACTAAATGTCAAGGGGAACCTTCACCTCTGAGTGAAAGTATTCTGTTCTGATATTTTGGCTCTTACCAGTATGTACTTTGCAACTATCCTTCTACCGCAGAGCAACGCCCAAAGAGTTCTGCAGAAGCTGGAAGATGTACAGGAAATGTTTGACAAGAGGCAAGTGAGTCTGAAGAAGCTGGCAGCGAAGCAAACCCGCCCGGTGCAACCTGTGGCCCCACATCCGGAGTCGTCACCAAAGCGAGCATCGCCGAAAAGCATCCGGCCTGTCCCGTTAGGTAAGGCACAGACTGGGCTTAATAAGTGGGCCTTCATTCCTTCCCTTTCAATCCAAGGGTCAGGACCAAGGGTGGCACTTAGGAAGGCCTGTGTTCTCTGCTTCTCCAGCCATTGAGTGCAGCGCTAGCTTCCCAAAGTGACTCCCAAGACGAGAGACTTAATTTTTAAAAGCAATCAGCTACCGTTGCAAAGTGTCTCCGACTCAAGAGTTCAGTAGTTCCAATTAATAGCAAGGTAGACCTTGTGCAGACACACACACCCCAGTTGTGCGCCCCCCCCCCAAGTTGTGCTAGGAAAATTCTTGAATTTCTGGCCTTCTGCAACAGGGGTGGCCATGTACAACAACCGTTTTGCTTGCTTTAAATGGCTTTTAGTAGATGAATGAAGCCATGGAAGCCTTTAATTTTCATTTATTAATGACTTGCAATCATGTCATTTCCAACTTATGATAACCCTTTCTGGGTTTTTCTAGCTACAGAGTAGGTAGAAGTGGGTTACTGTTCCTTTCCTCTGGGAGTCCTCGCCTGAGACCTGGCAGACGGACTTCAAAAGTCACAGGGAGGAAATGAAGGGTTGACTCCTTCCTAGGCAGGCCGGTGGTCCCTTCTCACTGGTCTATCTAACCTGCTATGGGATCCTAGCCGTACAATAGATGTCAAAAGATAGACGGCTTAGGACAGCTTTCTATCAGGGCAAAATGAGATAAGTGAGATGTGCCGTATTTTAAATGAGAATTCCAGCTCCTGGAGATTTTCAGGAGCAGCAGTTCCACTTTTTTGAGCGTTGCCTTTTCAGGGGTCATACCAGTGTGCCCTAAGCAGGCATGCTGTCTGGAGGTTGCTTGACTCCAGCCCTCGAGGTAGAATATGAACATGATCACAGAGTTGAGCCCCGTGCGAGTGTGTGTGTGGTTGTTTTTTTTATTTTTTATTTTTTATTATTATTATTTTTTTTGCAGTTGCAATTTGTTGCCGCTGTTCAGAATTAGCATTTTTCACTATGCCTGTTTGACGTTTCCTCATGTTCTTTGAGATTATATCAAGCTTGGGTACAGTTTGACTCAGAGGAAGTCTGGCCAGTTTTCACTTTCACTGTATTTGCTATGCATGCCGTAGCAATCCTGCAACTCCCTTAATATTCAATAAACACCAGACAGCTCTGCCACCATCACAGACAGTGATCCAGTTCCGTTGCATGAATTGGTCCAATGAAACGGTCACATCCGTTTTCTTCTGAGGTGAAACACTGCAGGAGGCTATTCGATTCTTTTCAGTAATAAAACCCTAAAGTTAGTCATATTCCATAACTTAATATCTGACTGGCTGGCTGTTGGATCCATTGTGGCATTCTACATGGTCAGTAGTTTATAAAAACAGATGAAGAACTCATTTAATTAATAATATTTGGTATGAATATGAATGTTTAAAAAGTAAGAGAGCTTAGCTGGCTGAGGAAATGATGCAGATGTGAATACCATCGAAATGTTAAACCACACGCTTTTTATAGACCTGAATATTTGTTGAAAAAACAGAAGTGAGAAAAACTATTCCCCTTTTTTCCACCATTCCCCACCATGAAGTGGTAAGTTGTGACGTATGTCAGGGACAGAATCAAGGATCAAAACTTAACAATCACTAGATGTTGTCTTGACAGAATATGCTTTAGTTAAGAGATTTATGTCAAAAGCATTAAAATGAAAAACAAGGAAGTCTTAATTCTTAACTAAAAATCAGGAAAAGGCTGCACGGTCATGGAAAAATACAAATGCAGGAGCAGGTGATACCTTTAATTGACCTTTAAGAGGATATAAACACAAAAAACAAAAACATGTAGATTGCGCTCAATCATAAATCATCTTCTTCAGGGCTATGAATCAAGTTCTTGTGGTCAATTCCAAACTTATGTGCTGTTATTTTTGTCCCAGGTTCACTTGGCTGATGGTGTAGAGGCCAGGTTATCTTCTTAGGTAGAAACAGCTGCAACGTTCATGTTGATTTCAAACTCCTCCTCAGCTAGCTGTTTAGAATTCGTGGCTCATCTCTTAAAACAGACGACAGTCAGAGGCATTCTGGGCCCTGTTAGAGCCTATCCACACAGGCATATAATATAGTTATGGGATACGGAACCTAGCTAGCACTATTTAACACAGAAAAAAAGACCATGTCCCCCCCAAAAAAATCGTGTTTGTACTTAGAATGATCCATCTTTCCCCTATAAGAGTTGCACTGCACCTTTCCAATGCCTGCCTAGAGGATGCATTCTCTTAAGCAAGATTTGGAGCCCTGCACGGTAGATGGGGAGGAGCAGCTCAGGAGCCGGAGACCTTGAAGGCTGGTGTTGCAGCTCCAGAGATCACCTGAGCAGCTGTGGTGAAAGCAACTGTTGCTCCTTACAGGCTGCTGTGAGCCTTTGAACCCCCTCCCCCTGGTGCTGTGTCCGGCTTCCCACTTCTGCTGATCTGCTCTTTGGTTGCTCCTGTCTTCTTACTGGCCGATAAAGCGGGTAAACCTTGCCTTGAAGGGATCAATTGACAGCTGATCAGAATAGAAGGGGTTAATTGCTGGGACCTCGGAGGAGCACGCCAAATGGCAAATCTCTCCTTTCCCACATCTCAGCCTGGTGAAAGCTGCACCCAAACCACCCAATCTGGACAGACTCTAAAGCAGAAGGCATCGAACACCCACCATGTTCTGAAGAAGCACCCAGTGCTGTTGGTTTCCTGAATACCCAAAAACACTTTTGCCCATCCTTCTTTTCAGTGAAGAAAATTTGCATAGAGCACTAAACACTAGGCATGTTCTGTATTGTATAATGACATAGTATTTCCTCAAACCACTTTAATTAGAAAAAAACCTGTGCCATTCTAGTTGTCAGTTATGGAACTGTACCCCATCCTTTGATTTCTCTCTTTTCCCAAACTGGTATTTTCAGTATAAAGAAAGCTTGGGGAGACATGCATTCAATATTTGGAGACACCCTGTTTTTGTTTCTATGTTCTTCCAAACCTTAACTGCTCATTAGTCTTTGAATCAGGATCTGTTCAAAGGAGATTTGTTTCAGTTCAGGCATCTCCTTGTCCAGCAGGACGGTCTGGGCTTTTTCTTAATTTGAAGTCCCTCCCTAATTCACTAGTGAAGCAAGACACACAGAGATTTCCTGCCTCTTTGCATATGCATCACGAACCTCAGATCAGCCCAGTATCATGACATGTCCCCAAACGAGTGGTGCTCATAACAGCAGTGACCGGTTGTGTCTATCCAGACAATTTTGTCCAAAGATAAGTTAGTGCCTGCTTCCTCTTTGTGTGAGATTGCAGAAACACTTACTCCAGCTAAATTATTTTGGTACCAATGAAAGAAAATTACTTGAATCCCTGGCAAAAATAAGTATTTTCTGCCCTTCTATGACACTCAGAATCTTCTACCCAAGGAAATGACCTCATTCTGACGGGTGGTTGGGCCAGCTCTGTTCCTTTAAACTGACTTGGGAGAGCCCTCTGATAAGGTCAGTAAAAGGATGCAACTTAATAAGGAAAAGGTAAGAAGAAAACCAAAAGTGCTTTTAATGCTCTGTTCCTTTAAACTGACTTGGGAGAGTCCTCTGATAAGGTCAGTAAAGGGATGCAACTTAATAAGGACAAGGTAAGAAGAAAACCAAAAGTGTTTAAATTTTTTCCCTAGTCCTTAAGAGTGGAAATCTGGTTTCCTGTTTACCAGCACTATTAGTCGTAAATAGGCTGTGAAGCCCCGTCACGGATGAAAGGAAAGTCCAATGCTGTAAAAAAAACTGCATATGAACCTGGAATGTAAGATCTATGAACCTTGGTAAGCTGGATGTGGTCAAACAAGAGATGGCAAGAATAAACATTGACATCCTGGGCGTCCATTAACTAAAATGGATGGGAATGGGCTAATTCAATTCAGACGATTAACATATCTACTCTTCTGGGCAAGAATCCCGTAGAAGAAATGGAGTAGCCCTGATAGTCAACAAAAGAGTGGGAAAAAGGACAAGTAGATCCAGAGCTAATGAAGTGGTTGGGCCAAAGCCGAAAGGACCCTCAGCTGCAGACGTGCCGGGAAGTGAAAGGAAAGTCCAATGCTGTAAAAAAAACTGCATATGAACCTGGAATGTAAGATCTATGAACCTTGGTAAGCTGGATGTGGTCAAACAAGAGATGGCAAGAATAAACATTGACATCCTGGGCGTCCATTAACTAAAATGGATGGGAATGGGCTAATTCAATTCAGACGATTAACATATCTACTCTTCTGGGCAAGAATCCCGTAGAAGAAATGGAGTAGCCCTGATAGTCAACAAAAGAGTGGGAAAAGCTGTCCTGGGATATAATCTCAAAAATGATAGAACGATATCAATACGAATCCAAGGCAGACCTTTCAACATCACAGGAATCCAAGTTTATGCACCAACCACCAATGCTGAAGAGGCTGAAATTTACCAATTCTATGAAGACTTAC